ATAAACACACTATCTTGGACCAGACACATGACAGGATACCACACAACAGCGCTACGCCCTCTGTTGTCCTGGCGGGGGATTGCTTTGCAACCCTCCCCAGGAGACGGAGAAGTATGAGGGCAAAATGTCTCCGTCCATGTGTGCGTGTCTCTCCCTGTTGGAGCTGACGGAGAAGCATGAATCAGGCTTAATTCATACCCTGTCCAGGAGTATTAAGTATACATTGTTTGTAAAAACACCTCAGAGATTACGGACATGTTCTGATATTTTCAGATGAAAAACAAAATTGTCGGACACGCTGTCTCATCTGCTTCTTTTCTAAACTCACAAAAATATGCCACAAAACCGATTGAAAGCCACTTTTTGTGAATTCTCTTAACGTTTCCATGATGTCCGTGACAAACGTTCTTTTTCATTGATCCCATCGACTAATCTCACAGCTGAAACAACGCATTCTTAATAATCTGAAGCTTTAACAACGCTGTAAAACACAAGGTAATCATTTCTTATTAATATTACGTTGTTGCAGCACTGAAGCAGCTGAAAAATTAGATTTTTCAATAAATATGCAAAACATTTACATATGAATTGTTTTTGAGACGTTTTGTTGGCAGAATCTGATATTAATGTTAGCTACAAGCTAGGTGTTCTGATAGAACACCGGGAAAAATGGTTCCCAATGTGGTTTGTGTGTGTTGTCATGTAACAGTGATGATGAAAGGCAGGATCAAAATGTCACCTTTTTCTGTACTTCATTTTGTTGCCCTGGAATTTCATGTTGTGCCATATTTAGGGAGTTTGGGACTCCTCCCCCATTTTTCTTGTTCCCCATATATCAAACAAAACACAACATCAAGGCCTTCACATCATAGCCGAGTACCTGTTAATCTAGTCAACCTGTTTTTTTATTTTGTTCAAACTTTCATAATTTAGCAAAACCATAGAGTAGAAATAGGAGCTGCTCAAAATATAGCATTTGTCTAGCATTTGCTGAAGTAATACAAATCCTCTGCCTCCTCTCATTCAGGACATTATTTACTCATTTAGGAGTTAGGCCTATTATGGTGAAATCTTGATAGAGTAATGTTCTAATGGAATATCACAAGAGCTTGTTCAATCTGCATGACTCTCTGCTTCTGCTGCTATATGTGACCGAGGTTAAACCTTTTTATGTTTACCCAAAATGTTGACGGTAGTAGCAGAGAGTAAGTTGTAGATACAGTTTTTTCTGAAAGTTTCATTAACATTTATGCAGTGATTCATGATCTATTTAGCTTTTACATTCACTAAAACACAGACAGGCAAAAACCCACTAACATTACTCCTTATTTGCAAAGGCAGCAATACTTTTATAATAGTGATGCAATTATTAATACTTGGTTGTGCTTTTACAGGATTCTAACACACTTGTGATTCAGACATCATGGTCACAGTCTGATGTCCAATAAGCTCTGTTATTTTTCTGTCCTACAGAAAATATGTTGACACCAACGACACACTTTGTGTTTGTGCGATGATGAACCAAGATAAGATCCTTTCTCTGGGTTGGAAATGAGCTCAGCGGGCAGCTTTAGTCCATAAGCTATCCATAGTGATAGAGATTACTGCACAATGAGCATGAAAGCGCTGTCTGTGACATAAGGTGCTTCATCGAATCACACAAAGGAAGGTATTAGTCTCAGTCACATCTTGTTTTAAAAGTATGAAATTCTCCTAATTTAATAATCTTTTGCTTTTTCAGAATAACTTTCATGATTTACAAGCAGGAATTAAATAGCCATCAGAAGTGTGTTTTTTTCAATGGGATCATTTAGTCTCAACTAGAAAAGATGTATGAATAAACATTAAATTAAACCCAAATCATAGAGAAACAAAGTTTCTTGTTGGAAAGTTCTGAAGCTTAAAGAGCAAGTAACGCCTAAATTAACTTTTTTTTTGCTGATAACCTGTATAGATGAGTGTCTAATGGTGCTGTACACATGTGTAATCATTAGTGTGGCAGTTTAGTGCAACGTACTCTAAATTTAATATTTCAGCCCAAAACCATAATTATATCTCCATCTGCAGGTTAAAACTCTGCTCCGCATTCATGTAGAACCAGCTGTGGTTGATGGCTAAGCTGAAAAGCGTGATGTCAACAAAGTACTACACGGCTGCACAAAACTATTTGAACGGTTTTGTACTTTTTAAAATAAGTTTTGAACGTAAAATGTTCTTTAAATGGCATTCCATACATTTTTGAAGTATTTACAGATATACTGTCACACTTCTGTCATGTGAAGAAACATGGTGCAAATATTGTTCTCAGATCCAGTAAATCCTCTGGTTTTGGGATTGTTCTTGGCTCGATGTTGCTGTGGCATGTTTTGTTCCTGTCATTTAGCCTTAAAGCTACACTATAAACTGATCACCACCTGGTGGTGAGTTGGATCAGATGGCAAGGGAACATGCCGCGTAGACCTGGCAGACCCAAACGCATAGTGAGGGTCTGCTGGGAACGCCTGGCAGAAGAACCTGTCAAGACGGTCTTCAACTCCCACCTCCGGCAGAGCTTTGACCACGTCCCGAGAGCAGTGGGGGACATTGAGTCCGAGTGGGCCTTGTTCCACTCTGCGATTGTCGAGGCGGCTGTTGCTAGCTGTGGTCGTAAGGTGGCCGGTGCCAGTCGTGGTGGCAACCCCCGTACCCGCTGGTGGACACCAGAGGTTCGGGGAGCCGTCAGGCTGAAGAAGGAGGCCTACAGGGCGTGGCTGGTCTGTGGGTCTCCGGAGGCAGCAGACAGGTACCGGATAGCCAAGCGGGGTGCAGCAGTGGCAGTTGCCGAGGCAAAATCTCGGGCGTGGGAGGAGTTTGGTGAGGCCATGGAGAAAGACTATCGATCGGCTCCAAAGAGGTTCTGGCAAACTGTCCGGCGCCTCAGGAGAGGAAGGCAGCAACTCGCTCACACTGTTTACAGTGGGGATGGGGAGCTGCTGACGTCAACTGAGGCTATAGTCGGACGGTGGAAGGAATACTTTGAGGAGCTCCTCAATCCCACCAATGCGCATTCCGAGGAGGAACCAGAGCTGGGAGGCCTGGGGATGGACTGTCCGATCTCGGGGGCAGAAGTTGCTGAGGTGGTCAAACAACTACACAGCGGCGGAGCCCCGGGGGCGGATGAGGTTCGTCCTGGGTATCTCAAGGCTATGGATGTTGTAGGGCTGTCATGGTTGACACGTCTCTACAACATTGCGTGGTCATCGGGGGCAGTTCCTAGGGAGTGGCAGACCGGGGTGGTGGTCCCCATCTTTAAGAAGGGTGACCTGAGGGTGTGTTCCAACTATAGGGGGATCACACTCCTCAGCCTCCCTGGAAAGGTCTACGCCAAGGTACTGGAGAGGAGGGTCCGATCGATAGTTGAATCTCAGATAGAGGAGGAGCAATGTGGTTTTCGTCCTGGCCGTGGAACTGTGGACCAGCTCTATACCCTTGCAAGGGTGATGGAGGGGGCATGGGAGTTTGCCCAACCAATCCACATGTGCTTTGTGGATTTGGAGAAGGCTTATGACCGTGTCCCCAGGGGCACCCTGTGGGGGACGCTCCAGGAGTATGGGGTGGGTGGCTTTCTGTTAAGGGCCATTCAGTCCCTTTACCAGAGGAGCGTGAGTTTGGTCCGCATAGCCGGTAGTAAGTCGGACCTGTTCCCAGTGAGGGTTGGACTCCGCCAGGGCTGCCCTTTGTCACCGGTTCTGTTCATCACTTTTATGGACAGAATTTCTAGACGCAGCCGTGGTGTGGAGTGTGTCGAGTTTGGTGGCAGGAGAATCTCGTCTCTGCTTTTTGCGGATGATGTGGTCCTCCTAGCTTCATCCAGCTCTGACCTTCAGCTCTTGCTGGGTAGGTTCGCGGCCGAATGTGAAGCGGCTGGGATGAGGATCAGCACCTCCAAATCTGAGACCATGGTTCTCGACCGGAAAAGGGTGGCTTGCCACCTCCGGGTCGGGGGAGAGGTCCTACCTCAAGTGGAGGAGTTTAAGTATCTCGGGGTCTTGTTCACGAGTGAGGGTAGGAGGGATCGGGAGATCGACAGGCGGATTGGTTCGGCGTCTGCAGTGATGCGGACGCTGAGCCGATCTGTCGTGGGGAAGAGGGAGCTGAGCCAGAAAGCCAGGCTCTCGATTTACCGGTCGATCTACGTCCCAATCCTCACCTATGGTCATGAGCTTTGGGTAATGACCGAAAGAACGAGATCGCGGATACAAGCGGCCGAAATGAGTTTCCTCCGTAGGGTGGCCGGGCTCAGCCTTAGAGATAGGGTGAGGAGCTCGGACATTCGGGAGGGACTCGGAGTAGAACCGCTGCTCCTCCGGATCGAAAGGAGCCAGTTGAGGTGGTTTGGGCATCTGGTCAGGATGCCTCCTGGACGCCTCCCCGGGGAGGTGTTTCGGGCATGTCCTGCCGGCAGAAGGCCCCCGGGTCGACCCAGGACACGTTGGAGAAGTTACATCTCCAATCTGGTCCGGGAACGCCTTGGGGTCCTGCCGGAGGAGCTGGTGGACAAGGCCGGGGAGAGGATGGCCTGGAGCTCCCTAGTTGGGATGCTGCCCCCGCGACCCGGACCCGGATAAGCGGAGGAAGACGACGACGACGACGACGGCTACACTATAAACCATTTGGCTCAAGTCCATCTTCTATCATACCTCAAAGGGTTTACTGACCAAAACTTTCTGTACTTCTAAAGTGTAGGCGTTAAAGAGATAGAGTGAGCTTATCTCAAAAAGCAGGTGTATGAAGAAGCTCTAACTCATTTTTAATAGTTGTGGCCGAAACATTTGATGGTTTTAAGAAGTTCAGTGGCTCAGAAGTTGTTTTGTTATAATTTCACTGTTTCCCTGCCCAAGTGAATAACACCTTTTTAGAATTTTTTTGTCTTACAGAAAATCAGTTATACTCCACATGTTTGCACAGCTGTTTAACTAATAAAGTTAACGTGGTCTTCCTCTGTTTCTGTCCTTCTGCAGACAGATGTGAACGCATGTTATCTGCGTGCAGCTCGGGCTGGAAATCTAGAGAAAGCTTTGGAATACTTGAAGAATGGAGTTGACATCAATATTTGCAATCAGGTAATTTAATAATTTAATAAAATAATTCAGACCCCCCTTTTCTATTTACTGAGATGGTGTTGTGTTAAATTAGTTTGCTGTTCTATGACATTAAAGATGCTCTGCTCGAGATTTTTGATTACTCACACACACACACACACACACACACACACACACACACACACACACACACACACACACACATATATATATATATATATATATATATATATATATATATATATATATATATAGGGGTGTAACGTTTCGCAATAGGGTTTTGAACCGTTTTGGTTTGGTCCACCTGCGTACTGTTTCAGTTTATTTTTTCTGTTAAATAATGAATTTTTCTTTGCGTGATTAAAGTGCAGCAGATAAAAGTTCCTAGGCGAGTTTCCGTATGGATGCTGTATAGCACGCGCCCAATCTCCTTTTAACAAATGTGATCTGCAAATTCTGATCAACACCTTTCAGAGTGGATCAAACCAGCTGGCCGTCGCTGCTACTTTGGAGCCTGTAGAGACACTGAACGGAGCATTGCGTCACCCCTCCCTCCCTTCTCTCAGACTGCCAGCATGCAGCAGCAAAAATGTAAACAAAAACGTCTGCTGAACTTTTCCCCTGTGACAAATGGTGTAAAGTTTTTCTCCTACAATGAAAAATACGACGCGGAGGAAGCTAATTATTTAATACGAGTTTTAACCCTCCCACTACACTAATGGGTGTGACCCAGCGAGGAAAGTTGACCATTTAGCAGAGTTGATGGTTTATACCTTGGGTCCATGTGGCAGGGGTGAGGAGTGAGCACCACCTCATCCCTGCCACATGGACCTCAAGGGATAAACCATCAATCCTGCTCAATGGTCATCTTTCCTCACGGGGTAGGGGGAGGGTTAAAGAAGAAACTCTGAGCGATGTGAGGTGAGTTTTTAAGGCCCGCTGCAGAAACAAAAACAGGGAGCATCAACAGTCAAACACAACACTTGTCTGTAGGAGCGTGACACTCATAGCTGCGCAAGTAACCTGTGAAATAATTAAAGACATCATGTTAGATCAGCAGCCTGCGATGACACCTGGTTCTTCTCATTATAGGAGCCGCTTTAGATATTAAATAAATAAATGTAATAATAATATACTGAAAATTAATCGAACACAGCCCTCGTACCGTTACACCCCCCCCCCCCCCCCCCAGTAAATTAACTCCATTCTATTTCCCCTTTCAAGTCCAACAAAAATTATAAAACAGAATAAATCCAGTAGGGCAAACACTTTTCACAACACTGTAGATGTGAGTGTTCTGGTTATTTGTTTGTATTAATATCAAATTGACTCACAACAAACTCTTAATTAGCTACAATATTCCATAGAATGCACGAACAGCCTTATTTTTCTTCACTTGTCTCATGCTCTTGACTTTTTCCCAGAATGGTCTCAATGCTCTCCATCTGGCTTCGAAAGAGGGACATGTTGAGGTGGTGGCTGAGCTCATCAAGCATGGCGCCAATGTGGATGCAGCCACTAAGGTGTGTATGGCCCCAGTAGTCACATAAACACACAATCAGTCACACTCTGTGGGTTCATAGATTCCCATCCACAGTCTGCTGAATTTGCACCTTCCCAATGTCACATTGCTTAAACAGCAGGTTGAGGAAATGAATGATGACATGATGAGGATGAGATCTGATCTAGTTACAGTCTGTCTTTGAGTGTGTGTGGTCGTATGTCACCACTTGAATGTTGCTGGAAATTGTTAGATGGTAAATTGCTCGCAGGATGTAATAATAATGTGATAAATTGCAGTGCATTAATCCAACATGAGGAAAATTAATTAAATCTTGCAAGTCAGCAGATGTTCTAGTCACATTAAGATGCCATGTGAGATAGAAGGATCACACAGCTGCAGAGGTTTAGATCTCACATTTTAACAATAAAGATATTTTATGTCCTAAAATGCAAAGAAATTTGTAATAAAATGCTAATTTGGCTGTAGGTATAGGGATACACACACTCACTCTCTCTCTCTGTCTATATACACGTATGTATATGTGTATATATATATATATATATATATATATATATATATATATAAATATATATATATATATATATATATATATATATATATATATATATATATATATATATATATATATATATATATATATATATATATATATAAAGGAAGGAGAGCAGCAATGACTTCAACCAAAAGTTTCCTGTAGTTGCAGAGCAGACCTGCACAACGGTCAGGAGTAATCAGAATTTAACTAAATACGTATGTTTCTGCTGCCCACCATTTTAAAAAAGTTTTTATCCCCATAGTTTTTTTAACACTGCAACAGGTGAATTAACCTAAAAGATGACGTTTTTTTAATTAAATTTGGGATAACATATTTAATAACTAAAATGTATTTTTCTAAAACTTTTGTGTTTGTAAAATGTAAGTTAAATGTTTTGGTTACGTACTGTTATTTTAATAAAAACGAATAAAGGTGCAATGCAGTATCGCCACAGGCTAAATTCTCCCAGAGTTACCACAAGGACCAATTTGGTTTGCCACCCCAAAAATGTATTTGGCCCCATCTGGCCACCCCTATCAAAAATTTCTGGAGGCGCCCCTGCCGCTCCAGAGGGTGCATTTTCCTCTGTTTAAGCCTTTGCACATTATGCTTTGGATCGTTGTTCTGTTGCATCACCCAGCTTCTGTTGAGTTTCAGCTGGTGGATAGATGGCTTTAAGTTATCCTGAAAAATGTCTTCATAAACTTGAGAATTTATTTTTCCTTTGATGATAGAAATCCGTCCTGGCCCTGGCGCAGCAAAGCAGCCCCAAAACATGCCCCCACCACCGTTTCTGTAAAAGTTGTACCTAAGCTTAAGTGTGTGAAAATCTCAGAAGAAATATTTGAATTTCATACTTTAAGGAGGAACTGCACACCATCAGAAAATGTCACCCCACACCTAGTCAAGATTTGAATGCTATGAGAGTGGCGTGGCCAAGTGTGGGGAGTTTCCATCCCGGGAGGGAGGGGCCGTGGGAGGAGACTGTACTGATGATGTAAAATTGTGCCACCCTCAGTCAATCACAAATTTAAAATGCAGTAGCCACAGTTCAACCCACAGGGGGCAGCACTAAAACATTTTTAGACCTAGATTCTAGGTTTAATCAAGTTTTTATAAACATTTTAAAAAAATGCACAGAAACAGAAAGGTCGCATTTGTAAAGCCCCAACTATACAGTTTGTAAGCAAAAAAACAAAAGTTATTTTGGGCTTTAGTTGCTCTTTAATGAATATGTGCATGTGAAATGGAGCCAAGTCGGGTTGGGTGTCCTTTCAGATTTTAACGGTCATCAAATTTTCTGAAAGATCCCAAGTCGAACTTAAAACCTAACCTGTTATTTTAGAAAAATGATGAAAGATATCACAAAGCTGAGCCACACTGTAACAACTGTTTGTCTTGTGGCTGCTTTAACCTTTAAATGAAGTATCTAGGTTAAAGCTTGTCTAAGTAGTTAAAGTTCAAATAGCTGAAAGGATTCTGTGAAAAAGTGAAAGATCTGAAGGATTTGCCGTGTATTTCAATAGGCCAAAAACTCATGGAAAAAGCTGAATATATAAAAAAATATTAAACGTATCAATACCAAAAGTTATATATATTATTTGTTTTTTTTATTTATTTATGTTTTTCCCCCGTGTCCTGTCTGGCTGCGAAACAAACAGAATTAATGTCTGAATGCTGGTGACAAGCATTACAGATTTACCCCTTCTTTCCACCGGAGCCGTCTACAGCACGTTACTGCAGCAGCACGTCATAGCTGCTGATAGGAACCGCTGTGGTCAACAGAACCTTTTCCACTGGAGCCGTCAGCAGCCGTCAGCAGCGCGAGTCGGCCGCGTCTCAGGAGCAGCATGTCGTGGCCCTTACGCACCGGTTCTATTTTCTACGCGCAACGCCTCTGAAACGGGTCAAGTTCAACATTTTTGGGGAAGGAAAGACAGGAAATCGGACGCGGAAATGGAGCGAAGCTCCCGAGATCTTCAGAATAAAGAAACGTACTGCCTTCCAGTTGCTTTACTTAAAAAAAAGTTACTAACTGTGTGGCCCCGTGAGAAGTTATCACCTAGCTAGCAGTCTCCTTTGTTTTTCAGGTCCGTATTGGCGATTATAAAACGGACAGAACATAAAACACAAACCTTTTGGAGCCATGTTGTAGTTTTCTCCTGCTTGTTGTTGTGTTTACTGACGAAGTCACGCGTGTGACTTCGTGCTCTGTCGGTGACAGCTGCTCCCCTGCTGCTTCGCGTCTCGTGGGAAGGGCCAAGCAGCAGCTTACGCGAGCAAGACGTGCTGCTGCAGTAACGTGCTGCTGACGGCTCCTGTGGAAAGAAGGGGTTACTCTCCGGTGGAGCATCAAAGCCTCTGCTTTAAAGTCACGCCTGATACTTAAAACTTTATTGTTTTTTTTTTGAATGCTTTATGATTCCGACCAGATACAGAGACAGATGTGAAAGAGAAAGGAAGAAAGGGGCGGGGGGGGGGGGGGGGGGGGGGGGGTTGGGACAAAAATAAACAATCAATGATGAACAAGAGTCTGCTTCTAGACCTGCAGAAAGAGAAAAACAAACAAAAAAATGGGGACACACAACAATACAACAGGAGCAAGCTATCACTGCGTCAACCTGATGAGGAAATATAAAATCAACATTGTTTTACTGAACAATCACACGATAATAAATCACAGTGCATTTAGTGCCAACCACAGCCTTAAGACATGTGTTGAATGTGCCCAAGTCCATACTTATGAGAGCACCATGTGAGCACCTGTGTGTGTACACGAGCTTGCATATGTAAGGTTCCTCTATAGGAGCGTCCAATAGAGAGTGTGAGGGGCCACTGATCTGCCCCCCAAAGATGTGTAGGAGATGGAGGGAGCTCCAAGCCCCAGAGATCCAGGAGCTGCCCCAGAGCACAGGGACCCCAGGGAGACTGTAACCAGAAAAGTCCCTGCCCCTTTCGAGAGGCGCAGAGGACTGCCCAGGGGGGTCACAACCAGTAGCCGGCAGAGTCCTGGGAGATATCAGCGGCAAGCTCACAGGCCCGCCCGCAGCCTCCCACCCCAAAACCAGCCGAGCCCAGAACCCAGCGACCCGGGACCCAGGGGCGACCACCCCCGCCGGGGACCCAGCAGAACCCAGGGACCCAGATCCCACCAGGCAGCCGCTGGGATTGATCAGGCAGATGCCAGAAATCTTAAACCCCTTGACCAGGGAGCCGCAAACACTCAGGCAGACCAAGGCACCACACTCCACACCAGGTGTGGCAGGGGGGGGGTAGGCGAAGATGTGTAATAGCTCAAGAAGTCCCAGGAGAGGGAAGGAGTCCAAGACCCCACCTGATATATACAGCCATACACAGACACAGTCACACACTCCCTCCCTCATGCTCACACATACACATACAACCTAAGACTTACAAAAATGAATGCTAGACACCCACTCAAGCTCCCCATACACACCCAACAGTAATTTAGAGAATGAGCTGAACGTTTTGATACAAAATTTGTTGAAATGACTGAAAAGAAGAAGTAGTCCATTAAACATATAGAATCTGAAACAGGATCACTAAAGTTTCAATGCTGTAAACAGCATTGAAAAAAAAGGGTAGTATCCGTACATGTCGGCATTAAGTGCTCAGATGTACTAGTGGATGTTGTAGTGTGTGGATGTTGTAGTGTTGGCTACAGTGGAGAAAAAGCTGTTCTTGAAAGGTGATGTTTTTAATGATATTGCTCTGTATCGCCTCAGAGAAGGAAGCAGCTGAAAGATAGTAAATGCAGGATGGCATGCTTCAGTAGAAATCCTGCGAGCTCTGCGTAATGCCCTACTGCAGTGGTGTGTCCTAGAGCGATTGTAGCAGTGCGCTGATAATAACTTCCGCTCTATTTGGGTGGTATTAGTTTAGGCAGACTATGATTGTCTAATGTTGTGACTTAGATGAAGATCAGATCACATTATATATCCAGTTTGTGCAGAAATCCATATAACTCCTGCAGCTGTAAGTTTTAGTTCATCACCCGTAACAAGAACAGGATCTTAAGGCCCATCCTAATGTGTCTACATGTGAAGGTTTTGCACATACTGTATTAAACTCAACATGGAGAACATGATTTTATGGTAATAGTGTGTGAAACCTACAAACATTCCCATGTGAACCCCTTGGGGAAAACATGTAGACCACACATGAAACACATTTTGGTAGCAGGTACCATACCATACCATACCACCTTGGTTTATATAGCACTTTAAAAGCACAGCCATACGGCTGACCAAAGTGCTGAACAGCCACTCAATAATAGAGATAAAAAAACATAAAACAGTACTATAAAATACAGCCAACAATAAAAGACAAGCCGACAAAAACGTACCAATAAAACAAATGAAACCTTACAATGGACGATAAAATAAGAGTAGTAAAAGCCAAACTAACAGCTAACTGTTAAAAGCAAGGGGTAAAATAGTGTGTCTTTAGTCTAGACTTAAAATCTGACAAGGTGGATGCCAGTTGAACTGTGACTGGAAGTTCGTTTCACAGTTTAGGACCGGCAACAGAGAAAGCTCTTAGTCCACATGATTTGTAACACGCTTTCGGGACCTCGAGGAGCAACAGGCTGGAGGACCTGAGTGTGCGACCGGGAGTATAAATTGAAAGAAGATCAGATAAGTACATGGGGGTAAGACCATGGAGGGATTTGAAAACAAAAAGTAGCAGTTTATATTGGACCCTGAAAGTGATGGGCAACCAATGAAGGGATTTGAGAACTGGTGTTATATGCTGGCACCTGTCAGTACGTGTTAGGAATCTAGCAGCTGCGTTTTGAACGAGCTGAAGTCGGACAAGGGTTAACTTATTGACACCCAGCAAAACTGCATTTGAGTAGTCGAGCCTAGATGTGTTGAAGGCATGAACAACTGATTCCAAATTTTTTCTAGATAAAACAGCTCTTAATTTGGACAGATGGCGGAGTTGGAAAAAACTAGATTTTACAGTGGCATTGACCTGGGCGTCCATCCTTTTAGATGAATCCATCTTCACACCCAGGTTTGTCACAACGGTTTTTAGATTTCGCGAAACAGATGAAAGATCTGGGGTTTGGAATGAGCTAGATCTGACCGGATTAAACAGGATCAGTTCAGTCTTGGAATCATTGAGATGCAGAAAATCTGTGGCCAGCCAACATTTCACATCACGTAGGCAGTCTAGAAGAGGCTGGATGGATTGCTGGAGTTTCACCGACTTTTAAATCTGACAGTCGTCAGCATATAAGTGATACTGAACAGAGGTACCACATGCGTAAACATGTCAACCCATGTTCTGTACATGGGATCTCATGTTATGAAGAGCATATTCAAGATGGGAT